TAAATGCGGATCTCACTGGTCTGAAACTCCACTGATTGTCCCATGAACTTTTTCTAAAAATAGAAACGATATTTGTTACTTCCAGTTCTTTTGCACATAAATGGTTTTTAATGAAGGACTGTGTATTCTTAGCAGATCAGCCTGTTTATTCTGAAGCTCTTTCAGCATTCTTGGATATTCACCATCTGGGCAGGTTGACAACTTGCTAACATACTTCTGTCGCTATCCAGGCCTTCAAACAGGAAGTGAGAATGGGTCAGAAAGTTCTTTTTCAATTGAAATAATTCAGTAGGAAGCATAAAGTAAGGCTGAGTTGAAAACAATTTTTGAGAATTCAGCAATTGATTTGATGAATGGGAGATTTGGAACAGTAACATAATTATTGCCATCATCCACTTCAGTTTATTTGGAGAATAAATAAACAATTATGTGAATATAAATATGCATATTCAGGGGCAAATTGCTTTCTATTGTAACAAATTTGAAGACAGAAGTATTACAGTAGCGTAACTAATTGGAGAAATTCAAAGTCTCAAAGCACAAATCCAACACCACTTCTGTAGAGCACACTGGAGGTCTTTGTAGCTGTAGTTCATTTCAGGAAAATTCCTGAATAGGAATAGGGTTAGGTTGGCCCCTGAGCACTTTGCTTAAGTGAACTATAAACAGAGGCATGGCTGTAACACCAGCCATTAGAAATCAGAGTCATCAGTAACGGCGAAAAGTTGCTATTAGCAGTAAGTCAGGCAGTGTACCCCAGCTCGATCTTGAGGAATCAAGCTCCCCGAGACCTCAACGTTTAGCGGTTAGTTCCTGACCACCAAAACGTGTTTAGCCATGTTAATCAATAGGAGTCTAAATCACAGCTTTACTGCTATGCTCAGGTCTCCAGATCAGCAAGTGTGAGAGGAGAAGGCTTGCAGGCGTAGGAAAGGTAGCTGCAAGTGTTTGCAACACGTATTAACGAATTGGAGAGAAAGCCTGCTAGGCGGTGGGGGAGGCGTTAACAGCTGAGTGCATTGAGTGTTTGGGTTTGTTTTTTTCTGAACCTGGCTTAACTTCTGTCCTGCCCCAGCAGGGCCCTGGCCCTTTCGGTGGGCGACAGCCTGCTTACCGCCCCATCGTGTCACCGCTGTTGAGATTGATGGAACAGAGAGATGTCACAAAGAAAAATTGCCACAAATTGAGATCATGCATGTAGCACATCAAGTTTGTAAGCCCAGCCTCTTGCTATATTTTGCAAGAGCGGGGTGATCGTCTGGATTTGCAGGGGCCCCTGCTGAGGAGGAACACATTATGTGTTTCATGGTAAGGAAAATATTTCCTTGAAAGGGAAGAATCCTGGACTCTTGAGCCTTGCTGTGGGTTTATGTCCTGTCCCTAGCTGTAACATTTTGGGCATGCTGACTTCTCTGCTTTCTCTTGGTGTTATTACAAGTGGTATTCATCAACAGTCTAAGGACTGTTTGTTACTTCTATGGTTAGTATTGAATACTAACACAATATATTGTAATGCTTATATACATAAATGCAACTGTTAGACATTTAGCTTCCCACTAAAGCATATCAAAGCATATCACACATATTATTAACTATGCTAATAACTGTTTCCCATCCTCAAGTATACTTTGAATGGCTATCACTCCTTCAAAGTTAAAAAATAAAAATAAGAGAATTAAGTTACAATTAAAATGCAACTCCAAACCAATAATACAGTTTGTCCCTATTTCTGTTTGTTTGTTACCTTACAGAATGAGATTTTCCTTACTGAATTTTCTTCTTAGTAGGAACAGTGCATTTTGGAATATTTTTTCAATGGAAAATAAGTAGAAACAAAACCCTGCAAGTCCTAGGCATTACAACAGACAAGGAAAAAAAAGCTACACATGGTGTAATATCAGGTATTCTGAATGTATTTTATATATCCCTTCCACAGCAGAGGTGTATATTCTTTTATATTTGTGCTCCATTAAAAATATAATGAAATAGTTATAGGCATACAATACAATTCCATTAACAGCTTTTTCTGTCTTAGACATTAACGTGACTAAGCAGCATCAAGGATCAGCAGTATCCATTAATAACCTTCAATATTGTCTTCTGTAATAGTTTTAGTACTTTACATACTCTGTCAGTCATAAACAAAACGATTAGGGAGTTTAGAAAATCCATTACAACCACAGAAGACAACCAGTCAACCGCAAGTAGCATAGACTTTGCTGAGAGAAATGGATTTTTTTAAACAGCATTTAGGAAAAGTGTCAATGTCTGTATGATAAAAAGTCCTGGTTTAGTTTTTGTCTGGGACTTCCATTGCTACCAGAAGGAATACTGAGCAGAGAGCTGGGACGGAATATGGCCTTACGCTCAGAGGAGCTGTTAATGTGCCCGGTCTCTGAAATTAGGAAGAAAGAGCATAGGGAGCCACCTAATGAGCCTTTACGCTCTTCTACATTAAGGATTATGAGTTCTGTTCTAAAAATATCCCAATTCCTTATGTGGTGCAATGAAATGCTATACGTACACAATAAGAAACCAGCTGTAGTCCCCGTGAAAATCCACCTGACATAAATTGACTAGAGACAGGGATTTTCAAAAGAGGACAGATATAGAGTCAGCATTTTATAAGTAAGTGATCAGTTGACCTTCCAAAAGTCACTTCCCAAATCATTACTGCTTGACTACAGGTAAAATTTCCTGAAGGAACAACCAAACTGATAATGCAGTTGCATACTCTAGCAGTTTAATTCCTTATCACCCTGTACTGTACCATGGCTAGTTTTACAGGTATTGTGAATGTAAAATTGTTGTGACTCACACCCTTGCAGGCTTTTAAACTCGTCCTTTAACCCCAGGAGTAATAGTGAATTCCTACAAGTCTGTCATATTATTTCAGAATAAATTAACTCAGGAAAACAATCATAGCACTACTATAGCATAGAGCATGTAGCTGGCTGGCTCTGAAATATAATTCCATGAAACACAACCTTCTCAAGGTATGATTGTGAGGCAATATATTGGGGTAGAGTGTTTGTAAATTAATGTTGGTAGCAGATTAGCAAGGTTATCCAACTCCACTTAAACTCAGCGAGATGGCCCTAATATGTCCCTAATGAGAAGGATACGTAGCCAGTATTTATATAATTTGATAGAGAGTGCATGTAGGCAAGTATAATGGGAGAAATCAGATCAGAATCAGTGCAAGTAATTCAACAGGGCCTTAAGTAAAAGATTGAAACAAAAGTCAAGATGAAGTAGAAAACACTTATGATTTGCTGGTCAGTTGGAGACCAGTTCATGACTTTTCACATCATTCCTTGGCCATGCGAGGTGGATTGAAGAAGAGATGGACAGACTGAGTTGACAATCACAGTTGTGCAGCCAACACTGAGAAATAATACAAGAGACTATTTGAGTTCATCTGGGGTTTGAAATCATGCTCATATGAAAACTAAGGAAACCTGTCAAGTGAGTGGTGATTTATCAAGATGTTTTTTGAAAATATATTTGTTAAGAAAAAAATTGGAGGTTTTAACTGTGAAACATAGTTCAAAATCTTTTTAATCACTCTGTAAGTATTTATGGAATAGGTAATTATTAAGCCAAATACTGACCAGAGCATAGGCAGCTATGGATAAAAAGGCATCAGAAAAATTAACTGAATAGAGTAGCATTGTTCACATGGGATTTTTGTTTTCAAACAACATTTAATATAAAAAACTCTATTCTTTATTACAGAAGAATACTGTTTCAGATTGGCTTCTTAAAATATACATTATATGTCTTTTTTCTTAATGATTATTTTTCTGCTGTCCTAACAGGTGCTCTCAGCAGCACCGTAAGCAAAGGAAAAATGACTGAGGCTGAAGCTGCTCTGTTTTTTTGGGGTCTCAATCATCAATCAGCTTGTGTGATTAGGTGGCATGCATAGTATGATAAGTCTTATTTGCCAACCAATGCCTGTGAATGTTAGAAATGTGTATAAACATTACAATATTCATGTGCATATTTTAAAGATGGCACTGAAGCACAAGGCTTGATAACTTCAAGTGCAAAGGTGTCTAAAATCAACTTGAGCGCTATTCCTGAGCTGCACCAAATGATCTTCAGCAGCAGTAGTGGTTTCTCCCAAGTGATGCACTAGATGTATGTAAACAAAAGATTATTTAACTTTGAGTTTGTAATAGATTTTCATGCGAAATTCAGGCTTGGCATAATTTAACAGATCTAGGTAGTTTCCCTGGAGTTGCATATACTACACCAGCTGAATTTGGCCTGTCACAAAGTTCCCTGAATTTCAGAAGAATCTCTTACTCAACTTCATTGCACGACAGTGGAATAAAACGACTTCACATTCACTAACTTCATTCAAATAATTAATAAATTCATTGAAGATTTCATAATTGCAGTTACAGTGGAAAGACTTGTCAGGGATACACAGAATTCATGCGAGTGATGTGTGACAGTTCAGATACAGAAATGATGCTAGCTGAGAAATAAGCTGTACCTCTAGCTTTCAGTACAGTAACAGCCCTGGTGTCATACCAGACATTTGTTTTGTGCTGCTTCAGCATGAGGTGGAGGAAGAAAGACCTTTACATCGGCTTTTATTCTGTTGATTTGTGGTGTTTTTTTTTAAATTAGGTACTTCCAACCATACACAGTACAAAGCCCCATCCTACAACTGGATGTATATAATTGACCCTTCCATCCTACAACCTGACCTGTGTAACTGAACCCTTTTTTTCTGCGTGGAATCCTGTTTAAATCAGTGAAGCTTCACACAAATGCAAGGATATGTCCAAGTGATCATTTAGAGAATTGGGGTTCCATGCTGTACTTTTATCAAGAACTTCTGGTTATATGTAAAACCCACCCGATCTTTGCTATTGTGCATTTTCCATGCAGTACGACACTGCATTGGGAAATATGCCTCTTGGGTTTATTTTATATGTGTATAATATATACACAAATTAAAAGTATATCACCTGCAAATAATATTTGGAATGTGAAAGACACAAAATGTAAACATTTTATTTGGCAGTTGTTTCAAACAGGTGAATAAATAAACGGAAAAGTACATCTTAATATTCTTTATAGCAACAGATGCAGTTGCACACATATTTACATACCGTGGATGCAAAGAACAGTTAATTTAATTTCTTTTTGTTAAAAAATGCAACTTCCAACACCACTAGACTTGACAATTAAAGATGAAGATACTAGTAATACTTTGTTCTAGCAATCTCAACTTTTAAAGGCATTCATTTGGAAGTAAGATAAGAGAGTCATCATGCATTTAGTTCATTTTGTCCACTTATGGTAGAAAGTCTGATGTAATCTCAGAATTATGAGTGTCATGCGCTTAAGTCAACTATGACATGTTTATAAATCAATGTAGTTCCCTTAAAACTTGAAGCAAAGAGAAAATCTCGTTTATCGATGGAGACATGTATGAAAGATCTTGGTGCCTGTATGTTTAATTCTTGAAACTTCACAAATTTTGCCTTTTCAGCATCCCAATAATAGACTTGAGTGAAAGAATAATCACTTCCAAGAATGGCATACTGATAATTACTTATCTGAAGCGGTTGGAATACCATTGACCCTCGGGATGGCATCCTTTGTAAATCCAAAAATGCTGAACCACCCCATTTCATTACTTTAGAGTCCCCAATAAATCTTGTTAAGCAAATGTATACATCCTCTTTCACTTTGAAATGTTTCACTGCATATGCATCTTCCATATCTTGGATATCAAAACGCTTAACAAATTCATTTGTTCCTTTGTTCCATTGATATATTACAGGTCTTTGGGAACTACTTGACAGAATTAAATGTGGTTTGCCGGATATTTCAAGATACTCCACATCAGTATCTCTGTACCAGGCGTGCAGAGACTGATGGGAATAAAATCCATTCCCATTCCATTTGTAAACCGTGGTGAAACCAGCTTTTGAACTGTCTGCAACAACAAAATACCAGTCTTCAGCAATCCTGAAAGTTTCAATGTCATTGGGTTTTCGGATTTTAAGGATTTCAATATCCTGAATTTTTATAAACTTATTAGCAAAAATATCTCTTTTATATATGTGGGAGCCTCCAAACAGCTGCGCGACAATGACATACAGCTGACTCTCAATAACTATAGGCTTACACACAACAGTTGAAGTACCTATAAAAACAAAAGACAGAGTTAGCGCCACTTTTTGGATCAGCTGTTGTAATACTGTTTGTTGAGCAGTGTTCATACCTGTAATGTTGTCGTAATTCCTGAACATCACTTCTACATGGTCCCATTCAAGAAAGATGCATTTTCCAGTAAAAGGCTGAGCAATAACCACATGTTCGTCATTCATGTATGAGAAAGTATCTACTGACAGAGATTGGTATGGCAGGGACTGATAGACTTCAAATTCTGCAAAAGTGCATACAACATATGATAATTACAGAGATACTTTCCATACTGTACTGAAAAAAAATCTGCTTAACAGATACCAATTTATTACAAATTACAGTATTTCATCACTAGTCAAATTTTCCTGTTGATAAAGGAGCACTGCAACTTGTTTTTCAATCTTTTTCAATTAAAAGAGGTGCTGGTTTATGTCCCAGTTCTCCAATTCCTTATATAGCATATTAAAGTCTGAGTAGAGGCTGCAATATAAGACCCCACTCCCAAGTGATTTGCATGTCAGAGTTACACCTGCACAGAATTCCTACTGATTTTAGTGGAGGTTCCATCCAGTATGCAGACTTCCTGCAAAAATGGACCCTAGAATAAAAAGATAGATAGCTTTGACTTTAATTTAACAAGATTAAATAATTTGAAGTATATTACCTGTAATAATGCAATCAAATTCTTTCGGAGAGAGGCTATTGATTTTGCGCTTCTTGTATTCTGGTGGGCTTTCACAGTAAATGTCTTCAACTGTTGCATTGGTGCTGCCCAGCCATTCCACTAACCACTTCAGTTTGCAGTCACAATTAAATGCATTGCCTCTAAGATCCCTACAACAAATAAATCATACATTGAAAATAAGTAGTCAGATGATGTATTCCTCCTTGCAGGACAACAATAAACCGGGCTCTTGTTAAATACATGTCCTCTTGCTTATTCTCAACTGATGCCTTCCCGCCTTAATTTGTCCTGACCCATAGTTAAGTCTACATACCAGAACCCACACTGATTTAATTCTATTAAGGAAATCAAGGAGAACTTAACTTGATAATCAGTAGGAAATTTTTGTTGATTTCCTCGAGTTTACAGGTACACAAAAGCCTACCAAACTGTTGGCCCCATATTTTGGGAGGTTGTTTCTTTTGGATTAGCCTTTCTCAATAAAAGCATTCTAGATTACAAAACTGGAATTAATGTAACCTGGTGGTCAGCCAGTCAGTATTTGCTGTCTCCTGTAGATATACTCATTTAGGGCTTTAGAAGACACAAGCAAAGGAGTTCTGTTTAAGACTTTTACAGCTGTCTTCAGTCAGATTTCAGATCGTATGTACAGGAACAGGCAAGTGCCAGGACCAGACTGTGTAACCACCTGGCCATGATCAGTCATGCCAAGTAACGCTACCAGATACGCCGACCATCTCCACAACTTACTGCTGTGGCTCTACACTATGAATTCAGCCTACCTTGCTAATACAGGGAGCAGGGAAAGCTTGTTCTGTGCTCATTATCCCAAATCAGGTGAACCAGAATTTAGTGTGTTGTAAACAGGACATAGTTCAGTGAAGCAACTATAGGATTTATCTGTTTATCTGTATTTAGTATTTTTACTGGTATTTAAGTTACATATTTAAACAAGTTCATGTTTAGGTTTGGTTGCAGTTAGATTTAGTATGGGATATGGTACTAACTAAAACACGTGCTTTTGTGATAAAAGATAGCCTTCCCAGAAATTATTTGCATACAGAAATGTTACTCCATTAAATATCTTCCACCCTCCCCTCATGTCATGCTCTCTCATGCACTCCTAAGGATACTTCCTTTTCATTCACTAAGTCTTAATGAACATGCAGCGCTCTTACGTAACTACTAACAATATTACTTATCTTCATAACTGGTGGAATAGTCAAAACTAAAGCAAATTATCAAGATCAGTAGACAAAACCCAAGCCTACCCATATTGGCTAGTCTCTACCCAGTAATAAGATCCCATTTACTGGCTATTGGTTTGAATCGCTACTCAGAATGTCCTCTAAAATAATCTCTTTATATTTTTAGTATAATTAATAGATTAATTAATTGCTTTCTTACACATTTGTTAAAGAATCCAAGCCTTTGAATATGTCTTTTGGAAGCGATTGGAGATTATTATTTGCGAGGCTCCTGGAAAAAAAGACACTTCAGTATCAGTGCTAGTTCACAAAATTACGCATTTTTGCAAGGTGTAATACTGTGTGGGGTTTTTCTCTTAAAGAACCCTGGTATTCTCCAGCACTTAGTTCTAAAAGATTGCTTTTAAGAAGAGCTCATTTACTTTGTGACTCTTTCACCCACTAAAATGCCATGCCTCCTTCTGCTTTCTGACTCTTCAGCAGCCTTGCAACATTTACAATACTTCAATTAGCAGGGTAAAAAGTGTAATCACCTCTGGTGTTTTGCCAACACCATTATTTTAAAACAATTAGTCATGACTGGATCTACTAATGTTTTCCTTATGAGATACCAAGACACCGTGTTCATATTACTGCAATCCCCTCACTTTCTTGTATCTCTTCCTGAAGCAAAATCTTAATTCATTCCGCTGGACTTAGGCTTAGCTCGTAGTTTTTGGAAATAGGCAGTAATAGACAAGAAATTGCTGATCAGCATGAATTTCTTTCCTGGAATATGCGCATATGCGTGAGTACGTGTGTATGAGACCAGCAATAAACTGCCGTCAATTCCCAATATTCAATGTTGGGAAAACTCGTTTAAATTCAGTGAGTATTCCAGCTAGTAAAAGTGATGAGGAAAAGTGAGCAGGCTTTGAACAAGCAATATATTACATTTCAGACACGTCTGTGTGAGTCCACCAAAGGTCTGGGTTCTCCAAGATGTCACTGAGGGCATGACAGGAAAAGAATAATGTTGTAGGGTATAGCTTACACCTCACACCTCTTTTGATTAACAACATTATTTATTACTTATGAGAAGAAATTAAAATGAAAAGAAATCATTCTAGTTTATGATCCCAATTAGAATCTGTAGCTAGTAAGACTTAGAACCTCTTCTGGTTTTGCTTGTAAACATAAAAGTTATTAATTAACTGCAATTTCTCCAGCCAAGCAAAGCCACTTAGGCATATACTTAAATTCAAGAACAGGCGTGGACGTACTAGGTCTACTGCCTCGTTTAAAATTGTTTGCCTGATCAGGAATAGTAAATATGGAACGATGCCATTAGTCTGTTCTGACTTCACTGCTTGCAAAGTACATCTCATTTTGACATTGTCTGGTGTATGTATCATGTCCTTCACTTCTGCTTAATTTTACACTCCACAGCAATTCTGTAAAAGTCAGGTAACTAACTCATATGGACAAAGCTAAGTAGACTTGCAAGCTGAGGTAGGTTTAATGCCCTATATATTCTTTACAACCTGGCAAACTGAAAGGATGATGTGCTTGGAAGTACCAGTGGTTCGCCGCTGCTGTGAGAATATGATTGACAGAAAAATTACACAAGTTTTATGCGTTTGCCAATTTTTTGATGAAAATTATGTATTTTATATTCCACTGCTAAAAGCATACTTATTTATTAGAAAACACTGTCTTTCCTAGATGGTGCTGTACATGGTGTTTGGTTTATAATAAGAGAGTAAAGGTTGAATCAAACATGCAGTTAGACTTATGGTCGCAGTTCTGAAAGAAATACAATTATATATTGTGAATAGAAATTATTTTCCAATCCTAACTGTAAGATTTTGAGATTAAATTAATAAATTAGTAAAAAAAAGCTATTTTTCTTTAATTTTCCTTTTCTTAAATCTGCTCTGAGCAGAACACGAATAGTGTTGCATAACAATAAATACTAGATGGCTCTATTTTACAATAAGGACACATAGTAATTATCAAAGTTAATTGCATTATAAAACTACAAATGTTTGGATAGCTTACCACATTGTAAAAGTTATGTTGTGAAAAGAACGTGAACAGAATAAATAGAACAAAGTTCATCTCCTCTGACTTCATGGAACTCATTTGTATGCTTATTTACTATGATTCTTTTTAAAATATTTTCTGTACACAAGTACTCTCCTGTTTCTTAAATGAGAAATGCCTCAGGGCACCAACTGATTATTCTTAACGTGTATGTGCAATTTTCCCCAAAGGGCAGGGAGTGGTTCTGCAAGCAGATTAAACTAGTCATATTCTGTGGTTAATGGACCTGCCTTTGCAGTTGTTTTCTGCAAATTTCTCATTGTCCTCATGAATAGCGCTCTATGCACAATAGCAGCATGATGCACAGATCTATGTCCCAAAAAACGTGCATGCAACCACATGCAAACCGCAGTGGCTCCTCAATGTGCTTCTATCTTTTGCATGTTTTCTCTTATGACACTGCTGAAGCATCCCCAGAAACAGGCAAGACAAGATGTTACTCTTGGACTGTATGCTCTGTGGACACAAAACTGTGCCTTCCTCTGTGTTAGAGAAGCAATTTGCTCACTGGCAGCAACAGCTACTAAATAAGTAAATGAATATGATAAATAATGTACTGGACCCATTTGTGAATATAAAGCTATTCATGTGCATAACTATTTTGAAGATAGGGTCCCAGTTACCAGCCTTATCCAATTATCTGCCTTTTCTAACAATACCATAATTATGCCTATACCTCTAATATGGATTTTTATGGGATGTGCACAGCCTGTTTATAGGCCTTTTTCCCTCTCCTCTCTCTTTGCTCTTCTGCAGGCCTAGAGCCATTCTTTAAGTAACTCTATATACACGAGTAGTCACAGTAGGCTCGGTTTCACCCAGCTGTGAGTCTTGTCTGTTCTGACCAAAAAGGGAAGAGTAAAGTGGTTTATGGTACATTTACTGTGTGGTAAAGGATGTGGTGAAATGCAGTTCAACTATTATATTTATGCACTAACTATTTAAAATGGACCCTTTGCTTTCTCTCCTGTGTCAAAATATATGAAAGAAAAAGTTAAATGACCTGTTTCAAAACCCTCTTGGAGGTTATTAAGTTAAGGCCAAGAGGTCGGAATCCACTCCCCTGCCTATGGCACACACCCCAAGATATATGCTTCAGAATGCAAATGCTCAGAGCTGGGTATACACCCATGTCAGGCATGCCCCAGATGTTTTAGCCTCCTTCTCTTACAGTATTTTTGTAATTTTTATGTTTTCTTACAGCACATATTGTATTTTCAATAAATGTATTGCTT